AATTAGATTTATCTTGAAATCCACAAAGAACTTTCAACCCAATTTAATCACATTAATCCAAAATTAGAACTTATCAACCTAATTCTAGATGGCACCCAACAAAAATGATTATGTGTAATTGTTGTGTGTATGCATAGAGGGAGGTTGAAGATGATGAGCAATGCTTTGTATATTTCTGGTTTCAATATGTTGAAATGATGCATGAATGCTATTTACATGATGCATGTTAAGTGAGAAACAAAACGGAAAAAATAGATTAGATATTTTTACACGTTTTTGAAAAGTAACAGTTTACGTCGATCCAAAATGTCTATGTGTCGACACATAATAGAAATTTTACTTCTATGTGTCAGCCTGAAAGGCTTTATGTGTTGACCTCGAAAAAAAATTTGGTTTTGAAAATATTCAGTATGTGTCGACCTATAGCTCGGATGTGTCGATCTATAGAAGTATTTTTACTTCTATGTGTTGACCTATAACTCGTATGTGTCGGCATATACTGAGCAGAATATAATTTTTCAAAATTTTTTCAGCATGTGTCAATCTGAAATACGGATGTGTTGACCTATAGAACAAATTTGCAGTATATGTATTGACCTGAAAATCGTATGTGTTGACACATAGCTTTTATGTGTCAACCTGAAAACTTTATGTGTTGACACATAGACTAATTTTCACATGAAAACTTGATTTTTAACTTATAAAACATCTCTAACATGATTTTAAGTTTTTTAATTTGAAAATCCACATCTAGATTAGAGACTAAGGTCTAATGTAAAAATACTAAATCCTCGTTTTGACATCATTCAAAACGTCTAAAATGATAGTGCACTCATAACTTCAACATTATTCGTCCGAGGGATCTCATGATCAAAATTCTCCAGAGTTAAGGGACCTACTTGCTCTGGCGTCTATTGATTTTGTGCAACTTTTCTTTTTTGTTGTGACTTTTGCACCACTATTTTGTACACAATAGACACCTGTATTTTTCCTAAAGATTCCTCTTCTTCCAATTTGAAGCCAATATGTTGTGATAGTTCCACGAACAAAACACCATATGACAACCACAAAATCCTCTTTCTACGATATTCCATCCTGTGATGGATTACCATGCTTGCTTAATTGTTTCAACTTGGTTTTCCAACACCCAAGTTAAAGCCAATTTGGTTTTAGATACTAACGCAAGATTGTGCTTCCTTAGGATAAGGATATGAATTGCCACAACATGGTGTATGAGACGAATGTTTGGGCGCATAAGCCTCGTAGTGAAAGGAGTATGAATTCCATTATATGAACCAGACACGAAGGAGAACGCAACGTTAACAAAAATATACCCATCTCCCATTTCTAAATCTTATGGCTTGTACGGAGAGCCAATGCATGGAATATCACAAATTTTGGCGAATTCTTCCATAGTCAAGGAGATGAAATGCTTATGAACCTTAGAAGTTATTCTCCCATCTTTGTAGTATAGTTTGGAGTAGAACACATTCAATGGAGTTGGGAATATCTGCTCTGGAACACTATTGATAAAGCTTTTTTTATACCATTTAGTGATGATGAATGATAACAATCATGAGGAACATAAAGAATGCTATAAAACAAAGATGACGATAGAATATAAGACAATAAGTATAAAAATGAGGAGAAAATACCTTTTTATAAGTTTGTCATAATCGTTTAAATGACTTCTAGTCGATTAAGGAAATAAGTGAAATTGATCATTATAATTGATTGACGGAGGCGACATTCATATGATCATTTAGTTGATTGGGCCTTTAGAGCTAATCAACTAGGTAGTGCAAAATTTAAATTTCAAACATAACTAATTAATTATCCTATTAAATTTAATTGATTATAAGTAATTTTTTCAACTTCTTTAGTTTATTTGGACCTTGAATAACTTTGGGCTTATTATCATTTTTGCACCCATTTATTTTAGCTTGGCACTCCTTGCTTAAGTTTATACTTCTTCGATCTTATAAAAAGAAATTTACTTTTTAAATATATTAAATAATCAATCTATTTAAATGATATATAGGTCAAATATAATGCATATTTAATAAATTTAAAAAATTAATTTTTTCTTATAAATATGATCAAAGATAATATTTTGTCTAACCAAAATTTTAGTATTAGTAAACCAAATGGGCCAGGAAAATAACTAACAACTTGATCGAAGTATCCAAATTTTATTCTCTATACTTAATTTGGTTCCTCTAATCTTTAATTTTCTCAAAAAAAGAAAATCAAGCTTACATTATTTATATGTTTTAATAAACTATGTGCTTTATTTAAAGAAAAATTCTAAAAATACAATTCAAACCTCATATTTCATGAATTTAGACAAGTAGGTTAAACTTAACTTGATAGTTCTCCCTCTTCCACATTTGGCATTATATTCATTTTATTCCCATCTGAAAAATAAAATGCAGATTATTTATGGGAAATGGCAAGTTAAATGGCTAATTAAAAAGCTAATAATTGGGTAAGTACATGGTACTAGTATTTTTGCTAAGTTGTAAATAGAAACATGCCACGTGAAAAAACATGTGAGAGATGGTGGGGCTAAAGACAACCAAGCAAGTCCCAATATCATAATTTTAGAGTGGGTCCCACCAAGAACAAGAGGCCACAGCTGGCAATCTGTTCGTTTGCGTTCGGTGGAAACTCACATACTTACTTGAACCACACGATGTAACTCTAAAATATCAAAAGTGAATATTTCATTATGTGTTTTTAATTCATTTTAGAGTTTAATCAATTAAAAAATAATTTAATACTATAATTTTTAAGTAAAAAAACTCATAAACTTTTAATAGAAAAAACTCATAAAAATACTATCATAAACTATACTCTAAATCAATTAAACTTATTGTAATAAAAAAATATCAGTTGAAGTACTTCATTGAGATCTTAACTTATATAAACTTTGGCCTAAATAAAAAGTGTAAATCGAGCTTCAATTATACTTCAACTACTCACTTTTTTCACTTCTCTTTAGTACAAATTTTACATAAATGCTGTAATGCTTTTCTTTTCCTGCAACTGCAACCCTGCTAGCTACTCATTAGACACAAACCTGAAGCTTGTCTATTTCAATATTCTTTTTATTTTTTATTTTTTATTTTTTTATTTTTTTATTTTTTTATTTTTTATCCATTATTGCATAAGGGACCAGTCAAATCAAATATATGGTTCCTTTGTTACCTCTCAAAACTGTCGGTGCTATATATACTCTCACTTCTATCAGAACCTTTTATTATTTTATATTTATACAATATCTTTTCTTTTCAGTCCCTTTAAATAATATATACAATTTAATATACTAAGTTTATACTCCTCAACAAGTAAAGGCATTTCATTATTATACTTGAACAACACTAGATACAAAATTTTTTTGTTGAAAAAAATATTATAATTTGACACACCACCTACTATACCAATACATATACATCAATTATTATTTTTATCTACGTTGACTAGATAGGAGAAAGATTAATAAACTTCACCAAGAAATTGATGTTTAAACAACATTCACTTGGCATGTTTAATGATATGAAATATTTTATTTTGTTTATATATTTATATACCAGATGCAATGATGACGGTGATAATGACTATAGCTACCACTATTATTATTATTATTGATATAGTTAGCCACATGTACGGGAGCAGAATCCATCTTGCAATTGAAAATATGACAGCGAGACTTGTAAAAGTTGAAAATTAATCATAAAAAGAGCACCACAACATTATAGTTTCAAAAGTAATTTTACTCTTACAATTCACGTTTTCAGAAATGTATCTGATGAACTGATTTAGGTTACTCATCTTTGAGGTGTCGTATGACTTATGCAACATGAAATTGAACCAGGGGTTTCTATACATTCAAAAAGTTGATGATTTACAAGAGTAATATTTGGATCAGAATTTTTTTCGATTTAAAAAATTATCAAGTTTCTCATTAGAGACAGTATTTAAAGAATTTATATAAAATGACAAACCCTCATATTAATTAAAAAATATAATATTATTCTTTAAAAATCAATTTTATAGGAATTATTTAACAATAAACATTAATTAAAAATGTGATTGGTTGTTCGTAAATCCAAGTGTTATGTTTGTGTGTACCTAAATTTTTTCCTAAACGAAATAGCATTTTGTTAAAAAAAAAGATTAAATTTTATTTTAAAGAAAAAAACTGAACAAAAAATGATTGGACTAGAAGGTCCCGTCTTACTACTATACAATAATAAAGCGACTATAATGAAAGTTTACCGAGTGTTTTACTCCAGCAAACAGATTATCAAATTTGATAAACAAACAATGAGATGACAAATCCAAAAAAGTGCTACTACAATTATATAAAAGAAAAAACAAACAGTTTTTTCTGAATTATTAGCCAATAAATAGCTGCAAAGCGTTGCTGTCAACATCACCGTTTTTAACTTTTGAGGTGGTGTTAGACATTGGAAAACAAAAGTCACGGAAAATGATCACAGAATAAATAGATTTTTGTAGCTACATAACATAACAACAGTATCTAATTCTAAGCCACTTGTTTGGCAACTACACTAGTAAAGTTACAACCGACACAGGGAACACATTACATCAGGATTCATGATTTAGATCAATCGAGTAAATTTGACAACAATTGATAAGATCATAGAACACACATAAAGTGAATTGCCCAATACCCAATATTTCAATAGTGACAAAAACTGGTGTATGATTTGACTCAAGATCAGTGTTGCATAATGCATCACAAACAGACCCCTACTGTTGCTATCTTCCAAACAAAATGCACATGTATGGCAGTCAAACAAACCTCCCCAAGAATGTTACTTGTATCTAATATCTAAATAACACCTGAAGTAACATGGTGTGTGACGACTTCAATTGGAATTGAACATGTTATCATTGTCATACATATTTGTATTGCCGTATCTTGGTACGTGTGGAAACACCAGAGAAACTTGTTGTTTGCATGTTGTTTTTTATGTCTTCCATACCCGAATAGTGCCATCTACTGATGAAGTTATCATGCAGGTTTCCTTTGGGTGATAACTTACACTTGTTACCTGACAAAAGAAAACATTGTATGAGATTAATGAGGGCAATGTCATTAGACTATAAAACTCACAACATAAAATGCAGCATAAAATAATGAACACAATAACATAGTTCCTCCAGCATAAAGAAATTGTACACGGAACTTCAATAAAATCAGGGTACGAAAGAGAGAAAGATTTGGTTCACAACAAAGTTATCATTGTATCTCAACTATCAAATGTTTTTCATGAAGATTATTTTCATACTAGGCTTTAAATTCAATTCATATTCAATATATAATGATACAATGCAAAAAAAGCGACTCTCAACACCCTCCACACCACCTGAAATTATATGATTTAGATGAGCGGGCTTGATTTCATTACCAAGTCAGTACTAAGAAATCCTAGATTTTCCCCCATCAAGAAATTAAAAACTTGACAAAACCGTAAACATGTTAGATTTTTCATGAAGATTATTTTCATACTAGGTTTTAAATTCAATTCAATATTATATAATGGTACAATGCAAAAGTTGCGGTTCTCAACATAATGTTCTTTTAGTATCATCCTTCCACATTTCTTTTACAACGAATAAACTAGATTTTTTTTTCTTACCACTGAGGCATGAGCCCTGAATTTTGACACAACAGATGCATCTACAAGATCCCAGAAATAGACAAAGCCATCCTCAGAGACACCAGTTACATGAGCATCCGTATTAGTAAGGCAGCAATCCAATTTGTAAGACTGATGATAAATCAATATAAACGACCAAATTTCAGACAATGCTTCAGTCAAAAAGTTTGAATTGAACAAAGTAAGGTTACTTAAAACAGAGGAAAAACATGCTTCAGGAACTGATAATAGCAGGGATCAGTAAATAGTATTCCACAAATACAGATATACTGATGAGTAATGACTGTGAATATAAACTTCCATCCAAATAGTTGAGAGCATGAACCTGCTATCTTCCTCTTTCAGTACTTAATGCTACTATATATGTGGAACATTTGAATTGAAAAGTGCTATAATCAGATATAGTCATTTCAGGCTGACCTTATTAGTGTGTCCTTTATATTCTTGTAATAGTTCACCTGTGGTTCTGTCACATGAAAGGATAGTGAATCTAAAAGAGATATAGAAGCCATAGTAAATGTTCCTCTCAAATGTTACAAACATACCTGTCCAAAAGACGCACAGTAGAGTCTAAGCAACCTGCTAGGATGCAGTTGCCATCATTTGACATCGATATACAGTTGACAGGTTGCCCTAAGTTATCAGATATTTCTCTAGTGCAAAGAACAGAGAAGCTTAGTAAAATTGCACAATGCAAATAAAATTTAAGGCAATAATAGAAGTGTTTAGTTTGAAATATTGCTTAAACTCGTGAATTATGAAATATACAGGTCTTGAAGTTTTTTATATATAATGTAACAAACCTGCCAATACGAATATCAAATGTTCGAACAGTTCCATCAACACTTCCTCCGATAATTTCAGTTTTTGTTAAACAAACAGACATCACACTGTCTGCGAATGTGTCAATAACCTGCATATCATTTGCGATTCCTGATTAATAAGCCAGCAGATAGAAATTGTGTGCATCGCAGGTAATAAATGAGTTAATAAGTGAGGATAGGGGAACCAGTTGATGAAATCCACCTGTATTGGCTCAGTGCTGTGGGATCTGCAGTCCCAAGCACGCAGTGATTGATCATAGCCTGCTGAGACTACAACAGATGAATACTCATTGAATTTTACACCATTTACCTGCAGAACAAACTTCCTATCAGAAACTATAAATTTATTGTGTGTTCTGGATTTAAGGTCAGGCCAACATATATCACAGACTCACAATAATAACAATCATTGAGAGCTGAAGACCAAACGTCACAAAAAAAAAGGCCTGCAACCCCCCGATCATAAAAAAGGGTCTGCAGCCCTAATGTGGCTGTGTTGTCAAGGTTTTTGATGTCTCCAAGACTGTATCATGACTGCAATTGTGGTTACATTAGTCATATTGAACTACAACTTTTTTACAATATCAAAAACCTCTACAAAATAGAAAAGGAGCCACAATTTCAAGCCCTGCTCTGCTCAGGACAACATAAATTCTCAAGCATCAAAGTTTTAATTTTCATTATTGCATATAAAACTAGGAATTAAAAATGGACTCCAGTGTTTGAGAAACGTTGAATGTGCACATTGGCATAGACTTAAAATGGATGCATACATGATGAAACCGGTGACGTGTGTTAAAAGTAAAAGGCAATAAACCAAAATAAGTACTAGAAATAGTGACGATAAAAACACATTAATATCACAATCCCGCACTCTCATGGTTTCATTCATTCAAAGAGAAAGCAAGAAAAAACAATAGAAAAATGAAAAATTTGTTTAGCAATTAGCATAGTAAGAAAGATAGAAAAGAAAATACCTCACCATCATGCCCACGAAACTTTCTTATTACACGTCCAGTAGCAACATCCCAATAGAAGACCTGCCTATCTCCACCACATGAACATAACTTGGAGTTGTCCCTAATAACAAACAAAACAACAAGAAATGCAGTTTACATAACAAACAACCATCCTCAATCGAAATCAAAAACACAAAACCTCACAATTTACACAACAAACATTCGATAAAATTGACTTATTTAAGCTTATACACTAACACAGTTACAGACACTTCTAAGACAGTTTGAGAGAACTTATAGAAATAACTTACTCCATAAGTTATTTTCAGTTTATTTTCATAATCTCACAAGTTGTAGCTTATATAAAAACATTCTGACTTTATTCTCTCTCTATCTAAAAAAATAGCTTATACATAAGCACTTATAGCATAAGTCATAAGCTTAATTAAGTTGTTTGTTAATCCAAACCAGTACTAAAGCATGATTGATTTTCTCCTAAGTTCCCAAAAGTATAATCAGCAATAATATCATAACTCTGTAGTAATCAAGTGAAATTACGATAAGTTTTGAATATACATTACGAACGAATGAACAAGTAAAGGTGAGAGAAAGAGTGTATATACGAAGTAACGTGAACATCGCGGACTTCACGGCCATGCGATTTATAGGTTTTGATATGGATGCCACGGTGAGGATTCCAGAGGCGTATGGTACGGTCTTTGCCGCAACTGAGAATATAGTTACCGTCGGAGTTGAACCTGGCGGCGAGTACGCCGCCCTCGTGACCCTTGAGCACGTTCGCCTCCTTCAGCGGAAGATCTTCGACGCTCATCGCTTCTTGCTACGGTTTCACTGCCGGGAGGAGAGAGAGACCATGGTAGAAAATTTTCTGTGAAGATGGGCCGGATTTATCGAATTGGGCCACATTCATGTTAGCCCTTTACCATTTGACATCTATACACCCATCCCTCAATTTTCTAAGGGGGGATTTCTTTTTACACCTCTTATGGGTGGAAAAAAACCCTTGAAAATCCGAAAAATACTCTTCGGAGATGTATCTCCAAATGCACTTCAAATCAGGATGTTTCGGAGATGCATCTCCAAAATATGCAGTGATATTTTTGGAGATGCATTTTCGAAACACCCTGATTTGATTATTTCGGAGATGCATCTCCGAAATTCTAGACAGTGATATTTTTTTTAAATCATCAATGTGTTGTTAAATAATTAGATGTAAATGATAATAAAAACGCAAATGAAAATGATAAGAAATAAAAAACGATAATAGACACAATAAATTGTTTAAAATAAAAATATATATAATAATTGTTCATAAATTGTTTCGGAAAAAAAAGGCATAGCTTATTGCGTATGCCCGATCCTCACTCCTTGGCCCCTCCTCTATCTTCTGTATTCAATCGCACTCTCTGCCTCCCCAACCATCATCTCTACAATGGCCACTGACTCAGAACCGTCTCAGTCAATGATACATATGTCCAAAGCCTCCCGCTCAAGCATCTTTATTCGTTGACAGATCAATAAGAGATCAATGACATGGTCATCCTCGACTTGCTGGTTCTCTCAGATCTCCTTATGATATGACCTAGGTGGACGTCTAAGAGCACCTGGTGTCATGATAGGATGTGGCACTGTGTAGAACCATGTCACATATCCCTAAACACAGTGTCAACTGCTGGATGTCTGCATCATCTGACACTCCTCTGGCACCCAATGATGCTCCTTGTCCTGAAAAGAATTGGAGATAAAAAGGAATTGAAGAACTTACTTAAATTTGAAGCTTTTAGAGTTGTTGAAATTGAGAGTTCGAGTGAGTTGTAACAAGTGCAAATGAGTAGACAAACTTGAATGAATTTTGAAAGTAGAGATTTTGGAGGCTTTTGTGGTGATTAATAGTTAGAATCTGGAATAAATGAGAATAATGGGTGGTTGTTAGTATTTGTTATTGTAATGCCCTAATTTGGAGATGCATCTTTGAAACATCCCTGATTTTGAAAAAAAGTGTTCCGGTAATATATCTTCGAAAATACCCCAAAAAAAATAAAATGTGGTGTGTTCAGAGATACATCTCAGAATTCTGAGGGTAAAAATAGAATTTCACCAGAGGTGGCTAAGAAGGTGTAAGGGTGGGGAAAGAAATTTCCTTTCTAAGGGTATGTTTGATTGATGGAATAAGATGAAATAGAGTATAATGGAACGGAATAAGGTTATGTTCCATCGTTTGGATTGATTAAAAACGGATGGAATGAAGCGATATCAGATGGAATCATTCCATCATTTTTTGTAAATCTGAATTTGGACGGAATGATAAAATTTATCTATTTCATCATGAAGTACTCAAATAATAGAATGACATATTTATTTCATTTCGCTCAGTTCCGCTCTATTTCATCCTGCTTTGCTACATTCCAATTCGTTCTTTTTGTTGTATCTAAACATAGTCTAAGAGAATTTTTAACCGCACTTTATGGATTGAAAAATACCCTATGAAAATCTAAAAATACCATATGAAAATCTAAAAATACCCCTCCGATTTCGGAGATGCATCTCCGGACGGATCCTCAAATACATCAAATACATGCATAAGTGAATCACACTTTCATTTTGTAAAAAAAAATAATTCAAAAAATATTTTTGAAACCCGAAAATACATTTTTAATAGTTTTCCGTTATTTTTCATTAAAAATGGTATACTCTGATATCTAAAATTTTTCCCTAATATCACAATTATTCTTATTAATTAATCAAACATGATTTTGATTTCATATTTCTCCATTCAAATTATTGGGATACATGTATGTTTATACGGATACTGATGAGGTACGTGTAATTGTGATCTTTTAATTATATTATTGAAAATAGCAAAATTCGTATATATAAAAGAAATTGTTGATAAAAAAAGTTTCCTAAGTGTAAATGATAATGTTCTTAAGAATGAATAATATTAATAAAATTTAAATTAATCAATTATTAAATACATGAAATAAAAATAATTATTTTTAAAAGAGAAAACAACAAAATTTTGATAGAGAAACATGAAAATTATATTTGAAAATAAAAACAGAAATAATAATAGTTAATAAAAATATGAAAATAAGTAAATTAGTTAATAAGGAAAACAATAAAATTAATTAAAAAAAAGGAAAATAATTAAGGTGGATATAAAAATAAGTGTAAATAAAAATTTAATAAGAGTAAAGCTCTGAACCCATTTGTTATTGTTGACATTTCACAACGTACATGTTTCATTAACATATGCATTAAAAATATATCATACAAAGTCATTGAATTGAAAAGTTAGTGGACTCATATGATGTTTTTGTATATATGTAGAAGTTCCTAGAACCAACACTCTTCATATTCACATTCCAAAATGTTGAACTTTCACTCTAAACATTGTCTTTCCAAAAATGAGTACCGACAAATCTTTTTTATCACTTTGGAGGTTGTACAGATTCAGATTTGTGTCATGTTGCATGTTGATTTACAAACAACGATTGATTATTTTCTCATATTTCATGTATTGTATTTCATACTGCATATCAACATCCGAGCTGGACAATGAAGTTGCATGGAGAAGACATCGAATGTATATGGCATACTTGGATAGTAAGAGTTGCAAAAGGGGTTTAAGGTCGTGGAGAGCAAAGGATGCGGTGAGGAAGAAAACAATGTTAAAGGAAAAGGTAAACCGCTTATCTTAAAGGTGGAGTTGCTGAAGAGTTAAATGTTGTTGGGAAAATGCATGAATTGGAAGATCAAGAACGAAAAAGGGATGCGTTGGATGGTAAGAAAAGGAAAAGGTCTCTCCCACCGTACCCTTCTCATATCTTGATTTCTTCATATAGTAAGAGGTAAAACCATTATTGTTATGATGAAAAATTATTGTAAAGGTTAAATGGAAAAAAGTTAATGGCTTTTGTTATGTTATTCTTTAGTTGTGGTAAATAGTTATATCTGAACACATGCATGTTATCTAATGTTTTACTTGTGATTTGTATGGTGAATGTAGTTCATCAAACAACTGTTCACATAATGATTCCAGTGAAGAATCTTCTTGTTTTGAAGAAGAAGAATGCATGTGGCAGAAGAGAGTCAAATCAGGGAAGTTTAATGATGATGTTGTTAATATGTGCAACAACTTCTGAGAGAAGTGATAAGGAAGTGTTTGTCTAGGGAACAAAACTAACATGAGTTGCTCGATACCGACACTGGAGATTTGTACCAGTGTGATCTCTATAGTGCTAAAAGGAATAAAATCGAGGAAAAGTTTCTTGTGTTATACGATGACAACTTATATAGACTGGGTGCATAGATCCCCAAAGTAAAATTTACTTTTTAAAATTTTGTTTTGAAAAACAAATGAAAATTTTTGGCAAGCGAAGGATTTGGCCTAGATCAAACAAGTCGTCTAAATCGAATCGGCTATTGGAAACTTTGATATGCATTAGAAACCAAACGGAATGTGAAACAATGACAAGCTATTAATATAGATTCTCAATTAATTGTTTTATTATGAACACTATGTAAACTTATTTCCAATGAAATTATTGATAAAACATAAACTAGAAATTTATCGAACACTTGGTGTGCAATCGATTTTTCAGATTTTCCTTTGAACTTTGTTCATATGAAATACCACTTACAATCTAATTGATTGTAATGTAATCAACAAAGCAATTTTAAATATAGCTATCAAAGGATTTGTCTATACATATCGATTACACAATCAATGAATTTAACAATTTGTTATAGAAAGTATATATAAGTAAATGAGAGAGAGAAAGGGGGACACAAGGATTTGTTTAGGCAGTTCACTAATCATCCTTGTTATGGTTACGTCTGCCCCCAATTTGTTTGGAATTGAGATATCAAATTCTTACTTTGCAAAATGTTAATTACAAGACAACTGTAGCAATGCATCCCTACAAACCTAATATTTGATATTGATTATAACCTTTTCTCTTACATTGATCTTGAGCCCGACCAAGTATCCCATTAAGACCAATTGATTCACTGTCTCATGCTACTCCTTTACAAGAAACACCGTTCTTTAAAGCTTTTGTTGGATCGAATCCAATTGCGTATACTATGTCCCAAGATTTCCAAACGATTCACTGTCTCACGCTACTCCTTTGCAAAGAACCCTCGTTCTTCAAATATTTCACTCGATCGGATCTAATATTTGCAAAATCTTGTGTAAACCCCCAAATCAACACTATGATCTTAGAGGACAAACCTAAATGTTTTTCCCAATGAAACCCCAAAAATTCTCAACTCAATCTTAGGTTACACCAACTTAAATTCTTAAGTTACACCAACCTAAATTGAACGTTATCAACACAAGTCTAGATGGCACTAAAATAAAGAATGATTATGCGTAATTTGTTTGTGTATGTGTATAGATGAAAGGTTGAAGACCATGAGCAATTTTTGTATGTGTTTATAGTTTCATCAAGTTGGAAATGATGTATGTATGAAGTATTTATATATGTGCAAGTTAGAGGCAAAAAGGGAGGCTTCAAAATTGAAAAGAAATGCAATTTTTCAGAAAAACTACATTATGTGTCGACACATATAAGTCATGTGTCGACACATGTAATGACACGCGTCAACCTGTTCAAGGTCATGTGTCGACACAAAGAAACAAAAGCTTACATGATTTAAAAATAAAGTACATGTGTCGACCTGAATCTATGATGACCTAAAAGGTTGTATATGTCGACACATAGTTACAGAGGTTACAAGCTTTATTAGTGATCTACATGTGTTGATCTTACATCGTATGTGTCGACACATAGACCTGTTTTTCAT